ATGGGGAGGCGGCTCTCGCCGTCCATGGCGGAGCTTTGCGAGCTGGGCATGTCACGGCCGTGACATGAGGTGCTCGTAGGAGGCGCACAAGCCTCTCTGTCCTCTTCGGGAAGAACTCGCTGCTGGGGACGAGAACAGCTTCCCTGGAGAGCGAAGGTTCTCCTGATCCTCACAGGAGGGTCTGGCGCGTCGTCTGCCAGGCTCGGGCGATCCCCCTGCTCTTTGGCCTGTCCCGTGGGCTCTCCCTGCATTCGGATCTTCCTGTAGGGGCCTCCTGGGCCCTTGGCTTCCGGGCCCTGGCAGTGAGGGCGATGCGGATGGGCTGGAGTCTTCGGATCCACCACCTCCTCCTGATGAACCTTCTTAACATTTTCTTGTTTGCATGTGGTGTTACAATGTTATGCAACTTTTTAGATGATCTTTGCTAATGAAAATTTTTATGAGGGTCTCATTACCAAAATATACAAAGGAGATTTTAAAAAGCTTAAACCTTAACCTCCAAAAATTCACATCGTAATTAATAAATGGGCAATTGGTTCATAAACACATGAAGAAATGCTCTAGATCCTAAGCTATAAAGGACATAGCAAATGAAAACAATACAGGGAATGCATATCACTCCAGTCAGAATAGCCAACATCAAGAATACAAACTATAGCAAGTGCTGTCAAAGATGAGTGGGAAAAGAAGTTCTAATACACTGTTGGTAATAATGTAAATTCATACAACCAATGGAAAATGTTATGGAGATTTCTGAAAAGAATAAAAAAAGAACAACACTATGATCCAACAACCCTACAAATTGGATACTCTACTACTTGAGCTATGGTGCCACTTCTAGCATTTTCTGAGTAGTTTATTAGAGATAGGAGTCTCATGAACTTTCTTGCCCCAACTGGCTTTGAACTGCATTCCTCAGATCTCAACCTCCTGAGTAGCTAGGATTACAGGTGTGAACTATCATCACCAACTCTTTAACTTTTTTTATTAAAAGGAAGCTTTTGAGCAATATAAACTCATGACACATTGATCACTAAAGCTTTATGGAAACTCTCTAGAAAAGGTTAGACACTCACACTCAGTCCACTAGTGGGTAGACAATAACATGACTTTATGGTGGACTCCGGTAAACTAGACTTGCTTTATTTTCCCTTCATCTATGTTTATTTTAACATCTGTCTTTCTTTTTCCTGCCATATACTAGTTTATTTGTTTTTTCCTGGTTTGCTGTTTTGCACTTTGTTAATCTTGCAATTGAAGAGCATTTCAAGAGGCAAGTTAGAACAGTGAGAAAAACACTGTTTTTGTTCATTTGGCTCCAGCTGAATTTATACCTGGTAGCAAAAGAGCTTATGGTTCTTGTTTATGTGGTTAACTTCTGTACTGATTACTTCTGTTCCAGCTATTAAGTCACTGACCTTGTTTGTAGATCTTCTGCTCAATTGGATTCAATTTGTCACTGAGGAGTTGTTTCAGAACATTTACTTTTTGCTTGGGCACCTGGTGGAGGGCAGGGTGATGGGGCTTCCCTCTACTCTGCAGGGCAGGCAAGCGAGGGACACAGACCTGAGCACATTTCTCCCTTCACTCTCCTGGAGTTCTTTGCTGTGAGAAGGAAAATGCTCCCATTTTCTTTTCCTAATGCTTCTTGGATTCTCATCAGTGACTTTTTGCAGTCTATTACTTGCCTATCTGATTAGAAGACCATTGTCATAATTAACATGCCTGGAATTCAAGCAGATTTTGTCTAACAGAAAATTAAATTTGAAATGCTATCAGAATAAAGAAGACTGAGCCGGGCGCTGGTGGCTCACGCCTGTAATCCTAGCTACTCAGGAGGCTGAGATCTGAGGATCGCGGTTCAAAGCCAGCCCGGGCAGGAGAGACCACGAAACTCTTATCTCCAATAAACCACCAGAAAACCGGAAGTGGCCCAAGTGGTAGAGTGCTAGCCTTGACCCGAAGAACTGAGGGACAGCGCTCAGGCCTAGAGTCCAAGCCCCACAACTGACAAAATTGTAACCCCTCTGTATGGTATTTTCACAATAAAAATAAATAAATAAATGAGGAAAAAAGAGAGAGAGAATATTCAAATGGAAAACAAAATGTAAGAAAATATCCTGTTGCCAGGTGCCGGAGGCTCACAACTATAATCCGAGCTACTCAGGAGGCTGAGATCTGAGGATCACAACTCGAAGTCAGCCTGAGCAGGAAAGTCCATAAGACTCTTATTTCCAATAAATTAACAAAAAATGCCAGAAGTAGAGTTGTGGCTCAAGTAGTTAGAATGCTAGCTTGAGCAAAAGATGCTCATGGACAACGTCTAGGTCCTGAGTTCAAACTCCAAGACCAGCATCCAAAAATAAGAAAAGAAAATATCACGTTGAAATAAATGTTGCTACAGCTCTCTTTAAACCAGTATTGCAAGAGTTACCAATGCAAAGGCTTGTGGATTTTTATTAACATCTTACCTCATAAGAGGTTGTCAGAAAGCTTTTAATTTGTCAACAAACTAGGTAAGGATTCAGTCACCTAAGTGCTAGGTCAAGGTAGTTATACTACCTTACCATATGAGCATCTACCATATGCCATAGAGCAATTTTAATTACATCTAATCTTTGGTCATGTATTCATTCATTTATTTTGTAGCATGGGAGTTTGAACTCAGGACTCCTTGCTTGCTAGGTAGTTACTTTACCATTTGAGCTATATTCCCAGTTCTTATCTGCTGTATTTTTTAGGAAATGTATCTTGTTTTTAATCACAGGTGGCCTGAGAGTGCTGTGTTTTTACCTACAGCTATCCCCTTTCCCTGTGTAGCTAGAATGAAAGGAGCAGCCACCATGGTCAGCTTATTTTATTCAAATGGGGTCTAAATAATTTTTTTTCACTCTGGCTGGCCTAGAACCATAGTTCTCCTGATCTCTACTCAAGATGTTCATGGGACTACAGGTTTGAGAGACCTTACCTTAACTTCATTTAAGGGGAAAAAAATCTATTTCATTCCTTGTTTTCTGTGTTTTAGGAATTTCCTGGTAACTAGTGATTTGTATTTCTGTTTTAGCAACAGATAAATTAATGGATGAATGGATAGATGGATGGATGCATAGATGGATGAATAAATGGAAAAACAAGTGGATAAATTAAACTGGATCACAGCCTGCTGGGATTTTTTTGTCCCCTTCTTTTAGGCCCCAAATAGCAATGGTTTCCTTTCCAAAGCCTGCAACTTACTCAAGGAACTGGAAGTGCAAATGAAATTAATATTTAAATGCATTACTAGAAGCTAAGAAGCACTTTAGCATTTTTTGTCCAATAAACTTTGTTTCTAACTTTGAATAAACAATCCAAAAATTAAAAGCCCAAATTTTTAAAAATACTTTATTAACATTTGTTACTATACATGAATTCTAGCTGAACACCAGTGACTCATACCTGTAATTCTAGCTACTCAGGAAGCTGAGATCTGAGGATTGCAATTAGAAGCCAGTCTAGTGAGGAAAGTCCTTGAGATTTTTTTTTTGGGGGGGGAGGGGGGTCCGGTCATGGGGCCTGAACTCTGGACCTGGGTGCTGTCCCTCAGCTCTTCAGCTCAAGGCTAGTGCTCTACCACTTGAGCCACAGCGCCACTTCCGGCTTTTTTCTTTTTGCTTATGTGCAGGACCTCTGGCAGGCAAGGCAAGTGCTCTACCACTGAGCCACCTTCCCAGCCCAGTCCTTGAGATTCTTATCTCCACTAATCTACCTAAAAAGCCAGAAGTGCAATTGTGGCTCAAGTGGTAGAGCTCTAGCCTTGAGCACAGAAGCTTAGGGATAGTGCCCATGCCCAGAGTTCAAGTCCCAGGAACAACCACCCCTCCTCCCCACCAAAAAAAATAAAACCATGAATTCCATTTTGGAGTGTAAATTTGGGGAGTAAAACAATGTCCTTTACTACTGTAAGCATAAAAGCAACACCATTTCTACTTCTATGCAGTAGGCAGTGTATTGAGTGTTATTGGCTAGTTCCTTGATCTTTAATAGTATGTGAATAAGGGTGATCTGGAGTTGAACAATTACTCAAAAATGCTCAAGTGCACACAGAAAATGAGCCAGGATTTGGTACTAAACTTTCGACATTCAGAGTCTAATACCTACATTAGATCTATGTTTATCTAGAGATTGCCAATTTCAAGAACACTCCCTGTGGAGCTGATATGAGCACTGTTCAGCCTTTGCCTCATTGTGTTTGTTTCCTCTAGCAAGTTTTGCTTCCAACAACACAAACTCGATATTTTCTTTGAGCTTTGAAACATGTATTTCTTGGGAGAAAATATAATATCAGTTTCTAGTGGAATTGTAATTATGAATCTGAAAAGTGATTTTCTTTAGTTAGAAGAGAAATCGAGTGCATAGTAGATGATTGTATGTGAGGAGGTATATATAACCTATTTTTGTAAGTCCTGTTATTTTGAATCCTATCCTAATCCGTGTGCTCAGTAGCTTTACATATTACTTATGTAAACAGTGATCCTTGATCTCATTTTACAGGTGAGAAACAGAGGCTTAGTGAGGTCATTTTAAGTCAGATAAACCACCTCTTTAAAGAGTAGAGCTAAGAAAATTTAGGAAAAAAAAAAGAAAAGATGTCTGATTTCAAAGCCTTTCTTATTTGATGATATTGTTCCTTGTTCCTTCTCAAATTCTGATTTCCACGGAATTGAAAACGCAATTGATGCCCCTGCGTCACCAGATCAAACACCTATTCTGTGCCAGGCTTCTCATATTCAGTGTGTCTCATAAGAATAGTGCAGCCCTGGCCTACGCTCGGGTGGTTCACGCCTGTAAGTTTAGCTACCCAGGAGACTGAGATCTGAGGATCGAGGTCCGAAAGCCCATGCAGGAAAGTCCATAAGACCCCTCTCTCCAATTAATCACTCAAAAGAAAAAGCTGCAAGTGGACCTTTGGCTAGGAGTGAGAGAGCGCTAGCCTTGAGGAAAAACCTCAGGGACAGTGCCCAGGTTAAGACACTATGTTGAAAAACGAACTTTACAATTTAGGCAAGGAGGCAGGGGAGTGTAGTTGAGGAGGTGGGAGGGAAGGGATGGTAGGGGAAAGACAAAGAAGGTAACAATGCTTGATAAGAAATGTATTCATTACCTTGCTCATGTAACTGCCTCTGCACAGTATTTTCACAATAAAAAACTTATTTTTTAAAAAAGAATGATAGTCACAAAGAAAGAAAGAGAGAAAGAAAGAGAGAAAGAAAGAGAGAAAGAAAGAGAGAAAGAAAGAGAGAAAGAAAGAAAGAAAGAAAGAAAGAAAGAAAGAAAGAAAGAAAGAAAGGAAAGAAAGAAAGAAAAGAAAAGAAACCAGGACACACTGATCCAAGGCAACAGCACCCCCACCAGGCAGGACATGAAGTTGAAGCCAAACTGTGTGGGTCCCATCGGCTTGTTAATCCATCACTCTGTTCCAAGTAACTTCAGCCCAGACTCAGAAATAACACTCTCCCTGCACCAAAACAGGAAGTCATTTTTGAGGAAGGAAACCTATTTTTTTTTACACTCAAATAGCCAAGAGGCAGTATTTAGAATTTTAACAAGTAATTTTAATTCGAATTGTTCTGGCATAATACAATTGGTATTCAACGCTGTTTTTTTTTTTTCATTTGTTTTTTGCACTTGGGGCCTTACACTTCTGCTGGTTTTCTTCTTACAGCCAGTATTCTTATCACTTGACTTAGGCCTCAAGCCCAACATTTTGTGAGTTAATTGGAAGTGAGTTTCTACCATGCTGTTTTTGAAACTTTAGTCCTTCAGGTCTCTGTGTTCTGAGTAGCTAGTATTACATGTATGAGCTACCAGCTCCTGGTCTCAACACTTATTTTTAAATTGGTAATTTAGTTACCTGTGTTACCTTTTTTGTGACTCTAATCTCTATTAAAGGTTATGCAATCTTGATTTTCATGTATATAATGTGTGTGTGCGTGCATGTGTGCATGTGTGTGCGTGTGTGCGTGTATACACCAGTCCTAGGGTTTGAACTCAGTATCAGGGCACAAACCGTGAGCCCTTCATGTTCACTATTGGCATTCTACCACTTGAGCCATAGTTACACTTCCAGCTTTTGGTAGTTAATTGGTAATAAGAGCCTCATGAACTTTCCTGCCTGGGCTGGCTTTCCAATCCTCAGATCTCAGCCTCCTGAGTAGCTAGGAATACAAGCATGAGCCACTGGTGACCAATCTCCAGGTATATAGCTTTCTGTATGCCACTTTTATTTGCATGTTCTATGGTGTGCTTAACTAATAAATCCCGCATAAAAATGTATTATATTTGGTTTATAAGCTGAAGATTGCACATATAAAATTAGCCCATTTCTTTTAGTTCACAGGTTCAAATAAACTTTTAACAAATATATAAATTGATAGTTGTTGATAAATAAAATAAAAAATATCTCCCATATTGGGAAAATGCTTAGCTATATTTGTTTTCAAAAGTTAGATGATCAAGTACAATGGCCTTTTTTTCTTTTTTTAAATATATTTTTATTGTAAAAATACTGTACAGAGAGGTTGCAGTTATATGAGTAGGGCAATGAGTACATTTCTTTTTTTTTTTTTTTTTTGGGTCCGGTCGTGAGACCTGAACTCTGGGCCTGGGCGCTGTCCCTCAGCTCTTCAGCTCAAGGCTAGCACTCTACCACTTGAGCCACAGCGCCACTTCCGGCTTTTTATTTCTGCTTATGTGGTGCTGAGGAATCGAACCCAGGGCCTCTGGCATGCAAGGCAAGCGCTCTACCACTGAGCCACCTTCCCAGCCCCATGAGTACATTTCTTATCAAGCACTGTTACCGCCTCCTTTGTTTTTCCCCTACCATCCCTTTTCTCCCCACCTCCCTCTCCCCGCCTCCTGAAATTAAAGTTCATTTTCAATATAGTGTCTTGTACATCTCATTGTTACAATGGTCAACCTGTATCCTTATTTAAGCATTTTGTTATATCCCTTCCCCTCCCCAAATTATAAAAATGTATATACAAGATGCAGAACAGAATCAAATACAGTGAAAACAGGGATTCTACCGTGGGAGAAGGACATACAAAAGAAACAGAAGAATCACATAGCCCATGGGCTTTTTTTCTGTTTTATTTACAATTTATTGGGTCTTCATTGAAATATAGTTCTTTTACTCTATGAAAAATACAATTTTTATAAATTAAAAATTTTGTAAATCATTTCAAATTAAAATTTTATTTTCCCCACATCTTATTAGTAGCAATTAACTTTACAAAGTAATTTCATTTGACATGTCCAAATATGTAATACAATGTTCTTCCATCACTCTCTCTCATCCTCGCTTTTGAAACCAAACCAATTTCAATAAGCTTGACTGTTTTCACACGTGTACATGAAGGATTTTGACCATATTTACCTTCCCCTTCTTTGTGTTGTGTTTCAAATCCCGATATTGTTATCCATCTATTCCCCTATATTGATCAAAATTTCTTTAGATTCTTGGTATATGAGCCCACTCGTGAAAACTTCTGTAGATATTTCCAAACTGCCCAGCCAAGAGCTGAGTTTGTGAGCATTCTCACAGACTAGATAGTGTGAGTGTGCTCCTCTATCCATCCAACCCAATCCTGGATGTATCAACTGAACATGTACACGTTCAAATTCTTATGGGGGAGCTTGAGTACACTAGAAGTCATTCACAGTGAGAGTGGTACATTGGGATCAGAGCACTGAAATGTCTCAGAGGAAGACCCTAAATCAGAGACATCATAGGTTCACATGCAAATGTCCAGAACCCAGTGTTAGATAAGGTCATCCAGAGACACGGAATAGATAGATATCTAGATCGATCGATCGATCGATCGATCGACAGACAGACAGACAGACAGACAGACATAAGAGACTCATTATGAAGAATTAGTTCACATTATTATGGTAGTGTGGAAGTCCCCAGATCTGTAGTTGGCAGCTAGAAACCCAGGAGAGCTGGTAGTATAGCCCCTATCTGATTCTGAGGGTCTGTGAACAGGGATAACCACCATATAAGTTCAGGTCAGAAAGCTGGAAGGTTCGAAGCATAAGGCAAGCTGATGATAGAGTTTTGGGATTTTTGTTTGTTTGTTTGTTTTATTGTGAAAATACTGTACAAAGGAGTTACAAGTACCTGGGCAAGGTAATGAGTGCATTTCTTATCAAGCATTGTTGCCCCCTCCTTTGTTTCCCCTTCCCATCCCTTCCCATCTACCCCCCCCAGCCCCGCCCACCCCTCCCCCCTCCACCAAAGTTGTAAAAGTTCGTTTTTCCACATAACATCTTGTACATCTCATTGTTGCAATGAGTCCACCTGTATCCCTATTTAAACGATTTGTTTTTCCCTTCCCCTCCCCAAATTATACCAACATCAAATACAGTGAAAACAGGGGTTATTCCGTGGGGGAGGGACATACAAAGCAACAAAACAATCACCTTATAAATAAGTTAGAAACAATAGCAAGAAAGAAAAAACATTTGAGTCCTTATCTTGGGGTTCATTTCACTAAACATCAACTTATCTGACCATTTCTGCTTATCTCAGACATATACTAGTTATAACAAATAAGGGAAACCATGGAACCTATGTTTCTTTGGGCCTGGCTTACTTTACTTAATATAATTTTTTCCAAGTCTTTCCATTTCCTAACAAATGGGGCAATGTCATTCTTTCTGATGGAGGCAGAGAATTCCATTGTGTATATATATATATATATATATATATATATATATATATATATATATATATATATATATATATATACCACATTTTCTTGATCCATTCATCTACTGAGGGGCATCTGGGTTGGTTCCATATCTTAGCTATTGTAAATAATGCTGCAATAAACATAATTGTGCTGGTAGCTTTAGTATAGTCTTGTTTGTGATCAGGTAAATGCCCGAAAGTGGGATTGCTGGGTCATAGGGGAGGCCTATGTGGAGTCTTTTGAGGAACCTTCATAATACTTTCCAAAGTGGTTGAACAAGTTTACACTCCCACCAACAATGAAGTAAGGTTCCCCTCTGTCCACATTCCCTCCAGCATCTGTTGTTATTAGAGTTCTTGATTATAGCCATTCTAACTGGGGTGGAGTGGTGTTTCAATGTTGTTTTGATTTGCATTTCTTTTATGGCTAGGGATCTTGAGCATTTCTTCATGTGTCTATTGGCCATTCTTATTTCCTCTTCAGAGAAGTTTCTCTTTAAGTCTTTAGCCCACTTATTTATTGGGCAGTTGTTTCTTTGAGGATTTGTTGTTGGGGGATTTAATTTTTTGAGTTCCAGGTATATTTTAGATATGAGACCCTTATCCATTGTATGGCTAGTGAAGATCTTCTCCCAATCCGTGGGCTTTCTATTGATCTTGCTAGCTATGTCCTTTGCCATGCAGAAGCTCTGAAACTTCATGCAATCTCATTTGTCCAACCTTTCTTTGATTTGTTGTGTTTCCGGGTCTCTATTAAGAAAATTTCTCCTGTGCCAAGGAGACCTAGGGTTTCTCTTATTCCATCTTGTAATGTTTTCAGAGTGTCTGCTTTGACTTTGAGGTCTTTGATCCATTTGGAGTTGATTCTGGTGCAGGGTGATATATAAGGATCTAGCTAGTGATTAACCAATTTTGCCAGCACCATTGACTGAAGAGGCCGTCTTTCTTCCATTCTATTTTTTTAGCTCCCTTATCTAAGATTGGATGGCTATCGGTCTGTGGGTTCATTTCTGGGTTTTCAATTCTATTCCATTGGTCTTGAGGTCTGTTCTTGTGCCAGTACCAAGCTGTTTTGATTACTATGGCTTTGTAGTAGAGTTTGAAGTTTGGAATTAATATTCCTCCAGCACTGTTCTTTCTGTTAAGGATTGTTTTTGCTATTTGTGGTCTTTTTTTGTTCCATAAGGATTTTTGGATTGCCTCTTCTATTTCCTTAAAGAATGAGTTTGGAATATTGATAGGTATTGCATTGAATTTGTACATAGCCTTGGGAAATATTGCCATTTTCACGATGCTGATCTTTCCAATCCAATAGCATGGGAGGTTTTTCCACTTTCTGAGTTCTGTTTTGATTTCCTTTTTCAGGTTTTTAAAGTTTTTGATTATATAGAGTTTTAAGTCCAAAGGCAATGAAAACAAAAGCTCATGTAGTGAGGCAAAACATGCTTCCCCTGCCTCATAGAAGTTCAGCTGTT